GAGAGAGAGAGAGAGAGAGAGAGAGAGAGAGAGCGTGTGAGAGAGAGAGAGAGAGAGAGAGAGAGTGAGTGTGTGTGAGAGAGGCACAGAGAGAGATAATTAGTCTGTGCGGGTCTGTCGGCATTCTTCGGCCTTTCATGATGGCCGCCGCTGACGCGTAGAAGGTGTTAATGCGTCGAGTAAACATTCCCTTGCTGATGCTTCTGCTGCTGCCGCTGCTGCGGCGAGAATACATTAGCTGATATCATGACCTGATAATACATGTGATAATTAATGTTTTTAGTGCATCACATGACTTTGCAATCTACGTAACTTGGCAAATATGAAGTGAATAAGACAAAGTTTCTTAAACGAACAATTTCAATTTGTATTAAAACACAATACGTTATTTCAATTTGTATTAAATTACAATGCGTTAAAATAACAATGCGTCTCGCAAGCAATTGGCGCTCAGGCGGACACTATTGTTTCATAGTACCTGCGACGTTATCCAATGGAATTTCAACGATTTATCATGTGATGCACTAATAATAGTAATATGTTATAATGTATTGTTAGCGCTTGCTGATATGTATGAACGTATATGTATGTACGTATATGTATGTACGTATATGTATGTACGTATATGTATTATGACGTATTCGTCTCAGAAGATTTACTGCATTTGGTTTCCGTCGAATTTCGCCACGGATTCGAGGAACAATTTGAATCTTTGCCTCGAATCTTTTCCACCCGGTGATTTCAATGACTCAAAGAAGTCATGATCGAGTCGTCCCTTCTCTCGCTATTGCTCTCTCTCTCTCTCTCTCTCTCTCTCTCTCTCTCTCTCTCTCTCTCTCTCTCTCTCTCCCTCTCTCTCTATCTCTCTCTTCACCTGACGTCTTTCAGCGGGCTTCATCAAAACAGCTCAGCTGCTGAGAAACAAACTGCACGCTCTCGCTGCCAGATAGCCGCCGGCGTATTAATGATATGCTCTTATAACAATAACAACAATATCAATTAAGCCTATTTATGGATTTCACGCCGCTGGCAACACACGCGCATCACCTATACATCCGGGTTTTAATACGCCCTTAACACGGAGAGAGATAGAGACGCACGAGGGAGCACAGGAGAAACGCACAAATGTGCAGCGGGAACGATAGAGAGAGAGTGGGTGTGAGAGAGAGAGAGAGAGAGAGAGAGAGAGAGAGAGAGAGAGAGAG